TGATGAACTCAAAACACCAATTTTAAGGAATGGGCACCGAAACCCGGAAGCCACTGGTGTAAAAGATTCGCAACATAATCCGACGAGATCTAAGTCCCTACAGGGAAGGGAACGTGAGACGGAGCTGTCTCAGCTCTGACATGCCCTGCAGCCGCAGAAAGCAAAAGGCAAAGCCTGGGGCTTTCCAAAGGCTCGCAATGGCAGGTGAATCGGCATTGCCAGAAGTTGTTGTGCCGCTCCCTGCACGCCCGGCCCTCATTGCTGCGGCAGCTCACGTTCACCTGTGGCTCACCGCCGGCCCCGCCCGGGACAGCGGGCACGGAGGCGCCTCCCCGGGGAATGAACCCTCCGTGGAACCTCCGCACTCGGGCTCTGTCTGCGAGCCCCTCCCCGCGCCTGGGGCCCGCCGAGAGCGGCGCCGCGACCCCCGAGCGCCGCGGGCTCCGAGGGCAGCGTCCCGCTGGCCGTTCCGCGGGGCCGAGCGGATACAAACGGACCCAACCCCCGGAACCGCTCCCAACCGCGGCTCTCAGGCACCCGCGGCCCCTTCAGCCCCGGGCCCAACCCCGCCGCGAACGCGTCGGCGCTCCGGGCCTGCCCGCCCGGCCCCGCGCTGCGCAGCGGCACAGCCGCCCCGCGCGCACTGCCGGCCCCTCCGCCCTCACCTCCACGAGCTCGCAGCGTCCCGGCGCGAAGCGGATGCGGAGCTCCTTCTCCCGGCCCACCATGGCGGGGCCGGGCCGGGCCTGGTACCGCTCCGCGCCCGCGGCTCCCGGCGCTGCGCGACCGCGGCTCCGCGCCCGGGCTGAGCCACAGGGGGGAGCCCTCGCCGCGCCGCGCGCCCCACGCACGCGCCTCCCGCTGCCACGCGCTGATTGGCCGGGGCGCGCCGGAGGGGGCGGGGCCAGCACCGGTATTTAAAGGGACAGGCGCGGCCCCGCGGGACAGGGAGGGCCCACACGGGGCGGGCGGGGCCGCGGCGGGGCTGGAGGGAGAAGAGGGCTGTGAGGGGCAGGGGAGCTGTCAGGGACAGTGGGGCCCGCAGTGCCCGCACCGCCCCGCGGTACAGCCACGGCAACACGCCACGGCCACCCGAACGCTGCTGGCCTCGGGGCAGAAGGGAAATAGGGGGTTGTGTGCTCCCGGGGCTGCCTTACCTGCAGGGCCGCTCCTCTGGCCGTGTTCATGGTGCTCTAAACAGTAACAAAAGTCACTGCACCGAGCACGTCTGGCGCTGCCTTTAAACATCTAACCACACTTCCCCAAATGAAACTGTCAACTTCCTAATGGGAGTTCTCATTTGTAAAAACACAAATGAAACTTCAGAATTAGACCAAAACACCGTATGATCGTGCATGTAGTTCTGGCATTACAGTGGATTTATGTATTCACAATAAATAACAATTCCTCGTTTTAGAGTGGAGAAAAGCACTTGGAATTGCCTTGATCCAGAGTTTGATATAAAAGCAACTGGTAAATTCAGTTACTGTGTGTAAATCCCACAGAGAAGAGGGGTTTGTTTTTGAGAGAACAATCAATCCCTGCTTACAGTACTGACCCTGAACGTATCATTACATGCTTACAAGGTGACAAATTTGATTTCTTTTTCAATACAAAGTTCTGAAGGTAACAGGATACTGTATGCAGCGTTACTGTACCATCTGACCCACGGAGACAGAGACTGTGCCTGGCAAGATTTTTTTTAGCAAGAGAACTGAAGATCAGTAGACGCATAAAAATTATTGGCCAAAATTCACTGCAGCTACTTCACACTTGTATCTATGCCAATGGGTTTATTTCAACTTGACTTCATCAAAGTAGTTTTAATTGGTAGTACTCAAGGAAGAAAACCAGAAAAGTCTACCAAAACCTCATCATACTAGAAGCTTGCAGAATATTGTAAACTACCTTTATGAAAAACAACTAACGTTTAAAGGACAAAAATGCGTATATACATAAAAAACAAACCACTTGAGCCAGTTTCTGCCTTCATGGAACACAGATGCCCTTCTTTCCCCTGTAACAAGCTATTGACATTTAATTCCTTTCCATTAACCTTAGAAATCTGTTTTAAATACCAGCAATTCATAATTTGAAATCAAGAAGAAACCGCAAAGCAATACCAAACTGTTTAGCAGCATGGAGGCAAGAACTCCCAGTACACCTGATGTCACACCATCTCCTCCCAGCACAGCTTGGATGAGGTCCCTGTGCTCTTTTTTAACAAAAACCATGATAGAGAAATAAAAAGTTTGTCATCTGGGCTCAGAGCAAGAGAAAAATAGCCAAAAGCAAACACTGAAATCTCAATCTACAATTATCAATCAACCTCTAAAAGATCTTACCATCTTTGTCACCAGATGAATTTAAATTATATACAGTTTTTGTATATTCATTAGATAATATAATCTATTTTTCCCTCAAATATTTACCTCAAGTTTTGTAGTCTTCTACCTATACTTTCAATTTCTTTACTGTTGTTACATCCACTTTGTGAAACACTGTGATTTTACAATAAGAATTGTGTTGTTGTCTAGATCACAGTCCCTTAAGCATTATGCATCCCTGGATGATTAAATGGACCACTCATTAAATTCACATTTCAGACTGTAATTCACAGAGACTACAGCATAATGAAGTCTCTCTCTCTCTCCTCCCCATTTGTTTTTCCCTTGATTTTGTAACCAAAGTGTGGTAGGAACCTGTCAATGCAAATATTCAGAGCCTTACCTGCTCCATTTCCAGCAGCATTTCAGGCACTGCCAAGGCACAGGGGGAATTAGCAGCCTGGGAAATCATTGCAGCTCAGCTGTGCACTTGTCCCTTTGTGTGCTGTGCCTGCAGAGAGCACAGGGGCTGGGAGCAGCACTGGCTCTGCTGACCTTTGGAACCACAACACACATCCAAGCCCTGCATCACGTGTGCCTCTGATTCCTGGTAAGCTTTTGGTCTGGTCCCAGTGGTACCATTTAAGCAGCTCAGTATGAGCTTAAATTTTTACCTCACAACAGCCAGCATGAGCAGGCACAGCCATTGTGTGCATGAGATCCAGTCAAAGCACTGGCACTGAGTGTTAGACAGTTTGTCTTCTATGGCAAACAGGAGGAGGGCTCTAATTAGGTCAGGCAGGTTGAGAATTCCAGGAGCTCTTCATGTTACATTTCAAATGAGCACAGCCCAGCTCTTGCTACAATAGAGCAAGACATGATCAGAGATTTATGGTAAATCATGGATTTTCCAATTAAAAAAAAATCTTCCACAACATGAAAATTATGGATTCCTGCAGTGAATACTAATGTCAGTTGAGCTATAAGTGTCAAGGTTTCAGTTTTTAATACTTCATTTCATAGTGCATGAAAGCAAAAAAGCCTCCTTGGCTGAAGTTACCTAAAAGCCCTCAACTTTGCCTTGACTTGCATCCTTTGCTTCTCTCCCCACTCTGCTCTGTCTGTGACCTATCAATGTTTTAAAGCTCAGGGATCACCCTTGCTGTAAGGCTAGCAGAATTATTTGCTGGAGTTTGTCTTTTCTTCTGTCAGTATAAGCCTGCTCCTGTCAGCTGTATCAAACAAGGGTGTAGGATCCCTAAAAGCCCAGTCCTGTGACACCTGCCATTCTTGGCTTCCCTTGCCATATTGGTACCTTCAGTCAAAAAAAACCAAAACCTTAAATCAGCATCCCCATTTTTATGTTTTGAGTTTGGTGGAACCTTTCATCAACGTTCAGACAAATGCCTGTTTCCTCTACAATTTTTTACTCCATTTATACCCTTCAGACAAGAAAACCTTAAATTTTTTCTCCACAAGGAGAGAACTCCAATAAAAAGTACTTCTAGCAACTTAATCAAAAATCTCTCAACACTTCAGGCTGAACACCAAGTGCTCTCTTAATTAAAACACAAAGTAATCCTCACCCTCAATCTTCAAAGGATCAAGTAATCCAGCAAATACACAAACATGACATTAAGAGAAACCATCTAGCAACTTCTTTCCTTGGACTTAATGTGCATTTTCTGTATATAATTTCTTAGGAATTATGACATCTCTGTAAGGCTCAAAATGTCAGCATAAATGCAAACAAATTCTACCAGCTAAGCTTTGGGTGCTGCCTCTGCAGCACCTCTGTGTAAGGGAGCTGCACAGACATACAATAACAAAAACACAGTTCCACCTTGGACTTGAATTCATTATTTGCTTTTGTATTAAGAGCAATCAGAGAATTGCAGGTTGCATATTTTGTACAGTTCAGCTAAATAATTTCCTTAAGACAAGAGAATATGTAGTTTTTGAGGCAAGACTGACAATTGAGCTTTGCTTTGAAGACAAGACTCAAAAAAAAGAACATTAGATGAATCCCACTGTAATGTAATTTTGGGTTTTATAACCGGTTTGCAAAGGAAAAGGACAAATTTGTGAATTTAAAATTTTTATTGCGCCAAAATATTCCTAATTTTCAATGCAGTTAAACAGATTCTTTCCCCATTGTCAACGTTCCAGTCTGTACAATGCATGTGAGCTCTGTGATGCCCTCCCAGCCCAGTGAGAGAAGTTGTGTTGTTATTCCCTGACTGTGGCACTGACCACGTACAACAGCTGGCTGCAGAGATTTTATGGCAATTCAGGAGTCCAGAGGACACAGCACTGCTCATAAGACACTAAGCTTAGTCACAGTGCACAAACATTCAGATAAATGCAGTCAATTTACTTTGACCTGAAAATTCTTTTCTGAAGATGAACAGCTGCAACACCTAGCCCTAGGATTTAAGTTCACATATACTGAATATAGACCCTGTAAAATATCAAAATTAAGTGTACAGTCCCATTTCTACTCAGGTTCTATAGTGTGTAGCCACAGAAGTAAAAAGGTCTCTTGGCAGTATTGCTGCCATTGGTACCAAAGCAGCTATAAACAGCAAAATTAATTTATCATAGAATTGTATACACTGGACAGATGCAAAAAAATTTAAAAACATAAAAAATAAAAAACTAACATAAAATCTGATTTCATTTGTAATCCTAATCTCTTAAAATGCTCTGTTCAAAACCTAACTAAGCAGCCTCAGCATAAGCAAAATGTGCAACAGTGAACACTTTTCAGAGTTCATGCCTGTAAGGATGTTACCAGGAGTCAGGAATGAGCTGTCACCTGTTGCTTCTCAGTAAAACAGTTTTTAGAAATACATATAATTTCAGGTCATTTCTCTAGGGCTCCTACTTATTTGCATTATATAGAGCATCCAATTTCACTTTGAAGCAGCAGTCTGTTGAAGTCTCCTGTAGCACACAAATTTATGGGCGATTTATTTTCTTGATACCAAGACAACTTCAAATTTTGTTTTTATTACCTGCAATGAAAAAACGTAAATAAGTTTGAGTTTTTCACCTATGGCTCCCACCACATGAAGTAATTTCTTGTCTCCTGGGGGGCAGAAGGCCCTACACTCTGAACCTTGCAGGTAAGCCAGGATTTCAGACCCTGGAACAGACACTATAATGAACCTCTCTCCCCTACCCTGCTTCTCTTGGTGTGCCCCCATGTTCTCTCCATCTGTTCCTCCACTCCACATTTATATGAGGACCCTTTGCACTTCACACCTGGAGTGGTGTAAGGTCCTGCCAGGTAGCAGCTAAAGAACCAGGGTGCAAAGGGGTCTGGCTGAGCCACTTGTACCCCATCATCTGTGCAGGAGACACTTCCTGTCACCTCATCAGCAGGAATATATGTGAGATGGTGACAGAAGGAGAATGGCTCTGCTGTCTGACCTGGCACAACATCTATTCCTGCCAGGCTGTAGGGATCTGGGCTGGAAAGCACCCTGGGAGTGCTCCACTGCTGGCAGCCTCCAACATCTGCTGTGGAACCAGAGATGCCATTCACCTCCCTCAGATGCAGCAGACCATGCAAGTCTCTCATACCTTCCTTGGTTAAGCCTAAGAGGGACAAAAGCTACATCAAGCTCACACTTACCTTCTTTTAAAGGTGTTTTTGGAGGAATATTTTCCTTGCTATCATGCTGGAAAGCTTTGGAGGGATCGAAGCGCTTGATGCCCTGTACTGCACACAGCTGCTCCTGAAGCTGCCTGTTGGTTTGCTTCTCCTTGGCCAGCAGTGCACGCAGCTTGGACACATCCTAGGCAAAACCAGACTTGGATATTAGATAAAGAACATGACAAGATTCTGCTTCATCATTTACTGAGGGAGCCATTTTGCCTAATGCTAAACACACAGACAATTATTGGTGGCATTAAAACACAACCCAAACATGGAGGTGTAGAGAAACCAGCAGCACGTACAGGTACTGTGTAACAGCAACAAGCAGTATGGCAGTCTCAAACTTTCAGCAGATAGTTTATTAAGTCTAGGACCCCAAGAAAAGGTAAGAAAAGCCAACCAAGCTAAGAGTAAAAGTACTTAGTTGTACTGCTGATCCCTCTGTATGTCGTAAATTCAGTCAAAAATAAAACTCTTGGCATTTCTGGAGTTTGGTGGTTTATTGTAATCTGTTTCGTGCAGAGAATTTAAAAACTAAGAAGTAAGTAGCTTGCAGGATTAGTCTATAAATATTTAGAGTAATTAACAAAGGCACAAGCACATTAGTAACATGCAGACTTCTAATTTTTCATTTCACAAACCTGTTTCAGGTGGACATTGTCTTCCTTCAGCTTCATAACATGCTTGATTTTTTGCTTCATGTTCTGGTGGCCAAGTAGTTTAGCATATGCATCACTCAGTTTATTCAGTTGTTCTTGGGCTGCCCCCTGCTCCTCTAGGAGAGCATTCTTCTCTGCTTCAAAAGCATCTAGTTGTTGCTGAAATACATTTGAATGTTTTAGAAATCTTGCAACTAAGCATAACTTTTTATCGAACTGAAATCTACCAAGGAAGATTAGTTTGGGAAAGGGAATAGCTGGCTCATTGGATAGTAACTTAGGAAACCACTGCAGAATAAATGGCTCAGAAGCATATTTACCTCAAGAGTAGAATTTGAGCCAAGTGCAAAAGTCTTATGTCAACAGATATAACACCTACTTCACAACACACCTGAAAAGGCTTCACTTTGTTATGTAAATCTTCATACAGCTTACGCCAGGTCTGGATCTCTTTGTTTAAGGCAGAGGTCACATCTTCACTTATGGTTTTCCTAAAATGCACGGAACAGAGTTTTGTTATGTTCCTTGTTAGCTCTCAGCACTTCTTCCCAATCAAACCTGGCTGTGCCATCACATGCAGTTTGATAAAGTCACCTTGATCTTTCTGCTTCAAGTTCTCTTTTCAGATCTTCAGTTTGCTCCTCAAGTTTTTCCTGAAGTTTAGTCATTTGTGCAAGGCAAGACTCTTTTGTTCTCTCTGTTTCTGCTTCTTTTAGTGCAAGCTTGGTCTGGACTTCTGAAAGCATCCTGAAGAAGATAATTTCTTAATGCACCCTTGATTTTTACTTTTTTTTCCCACTACACTAAATCTAAAATCCACAAGTAACCATGGTTGAAAAGCTGTTAGTAGAACTGAAATAAAGGTTTGCATGAAAAGTGCCACAAAGAAAACCCAAGTACAGAAGGCAATCAAGTTTAAGATGAACAACATTTTTACCTTTTTCTGTAAGGATGCAAGCAGTCCTTTTGAAGCAAAGAAAGATCATGTCGCTCATTTAAGACTGTTCAAGCCAACAGCTTTTAGCAGGGACAATTTAGTAGTTAGGCTTGACATAGAGAGATTTGCTCAAGCAGCAACTAATCAAGACTGTTCAGTGTGGATGTATGCAAGGCATCAAAAACCCTACACCTCAAAGCACTGACCCCTTTTCAGCCCCAGCTGTTTGCTCCATCCCTTCCCTGCCACCTCAGTCAGGAAACAGCTCTTCAGTTTTTCTTTTACCAGCTCAAATGAAAACTAGAAACATTAAGCAGGTGGGAGGAAAGAAAGGGCAGTATCTTAACAGCACAGAAGCATAGAGAACATGGATCATTAAATTGCTGTTAAGACAGTCAGAAGCACATCCTCAGCTACTAGCCTAACACAACTTCTTGGGTGTTGTGTCTCATCAGCTGCACTGTGATGCTTCATATTAGGCAGAGAGAGGACCTCAGTTTATATCATCACAGTGCAGCATCTCATGGATGATTAATTGGCATCTGCTAGTGAGCAGAATTTGAGGTGACATCATTCAGACTAGGGTGGCAGAGAGTGAGTTCTGCATTAAGTATTTGCTTGTCACCTCTGGGGATCTCATTTGCAGAGCAGCCACTGTAACTGATATTTCTGAAACAGACAATATTCCTACATATTTCATTCAAGTATTGTCCTTTTCCTCTGTGTTCCACATATAAACAAAGGTCAAAATAACTGATTGGACAGACCAGTTTTCTAATGCATATAAACTTAATGAATTTTGTCTATCAGTATTTTCAACCTTCTGCACTGGGAAAAGAAGAAACTTCAGTTTACACAAAATACTGATCTGACCTTTGAGAGCATCACATCAGGTTCTAGTTAGAAAGGCAAGCCTCAGTTTGCATTCTTTAGCTTAAGAAAAAGTCTGTCTGTGTAGTACCTTGCATATTCTTCATTTACTTGGTTTTTAGTGTATTCTGCTTCTTGAAGCAACTGCAGATTCTCTTGGCCTGCTTTTTTCAGGCTGGCAACTTCTTCTCGCAGAGAGGAATTCTCCAGTTTCAAACAGCAAATTTCTTCAGCTGATGCTTTCTTGTAGCTGGTATTACAGTACAAATGAGAAAAACCTTGTTACTTCAGGGAAAATACTGATTGATATGTTAACACCTTACAAGAGCAATAGAAGCTTGTGCTAGCAAGTACCAAAGACTGTATAACCTCAAGATACAGCAGTGTACAGGCATTGATAAATATACAAAGGTAAGAAGGAAACCACAACACAGCTCCCTAAAGCCATAAGCAGTAACACTAAGACAAGCTCTGTGATACAGATATTACTATATCTTGTAGGTATTTTAAAACAAAGGACCTACTCCCTCTGAAACTTGATTTAACCAGTACAGCACCTACTGTCTGTGGTTTGGAAATATCCCACAGGATCCTTCATGGGTGACACACATACCCAGTAATAACAGTATGACTTTTTATATACTTTCTATACCTGAGTATTTTAAGGTACAATAATTGCAGTAACTGTAGGAAACTACTTTCAATTCAGTGCAAATTTTGAGTCTATATAAGTCTTTTTGCAAGATATTTCATTGTCAAGAACACCATCACTAGCTACAAATCTCTTTGTGATTCAAGACCCCTGAACTCCTCCAACTGGTTGCATTTTGGAAGAAGAGATACCCAACTTCTTGAATTAGATAGTGATACTGTGTCACTGCACTAGCCTAGTACTTAAGAAATAAATTCTTAATGCCACCAAAAGCCATCACCAAATCCTCTGTTCAAATGCCATGTCAACACTCACACGTGGCACATAAATGAACAGTACATGTTATTGTCATCTTAGAGATAATGCCTGTCCTATACATTAATAAAACCTAAATACCTTTCAAAGTCAGCAGTAACCTTCCCAAGTTCCTGCAGCGTATTGCTGTATTCTTCTTGGATTTTCAATACAGCACTGCTATGCATTGCCTTGATTTGCTCCAACTCCATGTTCTTCCTGAAATAAAAACTCAGCATTGCACTCTGCAGAGAAGCATGTGTGAACACATCACCAAATGCTGCCATCAGTAACAGAAAGCTTGAAGCAGCAGCAATGAATTAATTGTGACAAACCAGTAACTTCTCACATACTAAAGCACGATCTTCACAACAGGTATTGCTAAGGATTTCCCCCCTCCTTATTTTCTAAGGGAGATAGAGAATAGACTAAAAACCTAATAGTAAACTTAAACAAGAAACAACTGGTTTGAAAGTATTTTTGTCATAGCCTTCACCAGGACAGAAATAGCCAGTACAACATGCACTTATCTTATCCAGCACAGCAAAGTCAGAGCACTACAATACCAGCCTTTCAAGCAAATCCCAACTGGCTTTTTTGTTTTACAACAATGTAAAATGGACTCAAATTATTATTGATACTGACTCAAGTTACTAGTGCTAGTCATTAGATCTCATCACCATCAGTAATTAACAACCAGCAAGAAATAACTTCAGATCTGCTCAGGTCTCTAAAACCTGAATTAGGCTTAGAAACTCTGCTTACAGAACTAATTTAACATCTTTCCTTTCAAAGCTTGAATTACAAAGTTTCTTTCACAAACCCTTTCAACTCTTCTTCCATCTGTGTGAGTTCAAGACCTTGAGACTTGATTTCCTGTTCCAGTCGCTTCACCAACTTTTCAGCTTTCTTCTCCTTTGCATGCAATTTATTCAGCTCCTTCATGGTGCCATTCAGCTCTTCTTCCAGAAGACGTCTCTCACTTGTTACTTCATTTTCAAACTCCAGTAACTTCTGCTGCATTGATGCAGATGACTCCTGCATGCCAGAACACCACAGATTTTAAAATTACCAGTACTGTCTGGGTAGTTAAGGGTTAATTTGCAGTGTTTAAGTTTCAAATCTATGGGAAGAACCAAACCCCCCCATCACACCAGGAATGATTCTTAGACCTATTAGATCACACAAGCTTCTGCAGGCCAGCTCCCACTTGGCCATATTAATGATAACCTAATCTGTGGAATGCACATCTCATGTGCAAAGAACAATTTTTAGTGCCAGTCCTTGGGATTACAATCTATTTTTAGACTAATTAATAGCCTGTATTTACCTTCTCTTGCTGCAGCTGAGAGACAACCTCCTCATGTTTCTGAAGGAGTTTTTGGTGTTCTTGTTCCACCAAATCAATTTTCTTTTTCAGGTCTTCTATTTCAGCATTCATACTCAGGAACTGTCCTTCAGCCTCAGACACCTCTTTCTCTGCATGGAAAAATGGTCAATATAACATAAAATTCCTTTTCTATCTTCAAATAGACACAACGTACATTAATCATAATACTTCTATTCTATCTTTGTTTTTCCCTTGCCTATCTAGGGAAACAAATCCATACCTACAACCCATCTGCAAACTCCTCAAAATTGGCTCAGGGTAATCACTTCAAAATCATTTTAACAGCAGGAGTGTTTGGACCAAGCAATTGGCCTCCACCAGAAGAGCAGGGAAAAGCAACTACATGAGTTCCCCAAAGATTCTTCCACAAGCTAGCACACAGAAAGCGGCTGGTACAGAAAAGTGAGTACATGTCTTAGATTGCAGAGCTGCTAGAGTTGGGAGAGGAGGAGTAAGGAGGTGAAGAAGGATCCTTGCCACATTCCCAACACCTCAGTGCATCTGTGAACAAGCTGCTAGCAGTGAATTCACACAATATTACACTGCTTCTCAGTGAAGAGTAAGGAACAAGAACTTAGTGTTCACCTTTCAGATTAAAGCCACTCATATACTATGCACCCAAGTCACCCTCCATGGAAACACCAATTCAGACTTAACAGATGTCAGATGTGAAGTGATTTCCCTGTTGTTAAAAACATGCCTTGGTGTTTGTAGCTGGAGCTCAGAGACTTCTCATTTAGAACAAACCAGTCTAAATTGACATTTTAGAAAACACCCATTTGAGGTGCTTTAAGACATGTGAGTGATCCCACATATGGAACAGTGTACAAGAACAATTACCTTTCTCTTGTTGAAGCAGTTGACACCGCTCATTAAGTTCTTTCATCAGTTTACATGACTCTTCCTCTTTTGCTTTGAGGGTATTCCTCAGCATCTGAATATCTTGGTCTTTCTTACTCAGTGTCTCCTCCATCTGGGCAACTTCTAATTTGTATTTTTCTGCTGTTTCTGCAACACTACTGCAGAAGAAAATTCAGGCACTTGTTACTACTAAATTTTGTTTGCAGGCTTACACACCAACACAAAGGAAAATGCTTAGGACTGTTGGTTTTCAAGAGGAAAACTGCCTTCTTCAAAACAATTTGTTGTTACCTAAGCTCTGTAACATATTCCAGGAGTTTTTCAGTGTCAGACTTTTCTTCAACTTTCTCTCTCTCAGTAGCAGACCTAAAACCAGACAGATTTTATGACAGATACATTTAAACAAATCCAGAGTTAAGCAGTAACACATACTTTTCATCTCCTAGTTTAGCTGAAAAATTGATATTGGCTCTAAGAGGTGATTCTACCCTCTTTTCATCCTTGTTCCAGATTGTCTTCTCATTGTAGTAATGATGCTGTGCCACATTTTGCCACAAGCAATATGCCACAACCACAATAATGCATTAACATAATGCAGTTTTTTAGCAAATCAGCACCTCCTCTCTTTGTGACCTGCACTACCTGCATTATTACCTTTGTGTATTTTCACAGCCAAGTTTGTGCTGCAGTGGCAATTGTGCCAACCTTACATTGAACATGGCTGCAAGTTCATCCCAGGTCACTGTCCTCAGCAACAGGCTGCACATCAGAGCACTGTTCCTGTGCAGCACATGACATTTTTTGGGCAGAATAGAAAGTGCTGAGTTAGAACCCACTCTCTATCTACCTAGAGCTGCTGAAACCAAGAGACTCTGCAGTTGCCTTTCTTCAGAGTACACGTCTACACCAAAGCAGCTCTGAAGGCACCACAGTGGCTCTTCAGTGCACTTCTCTGGAGAACATGAATGTGTTCATCAACTTCAAGCCAAATGCCTGCTGAATTAGGATTTCAGCTCCTGCTCTAATGCATTTCTATTCTTATAGAATAAGAATCTTATTACTTATTCCTGACTTAGTAGTCTAAAGGGCCAGAAATATCCCATCCATACCAATGTCCTCCTCCAACCTGAAAAACAATTCTTTCCTAAAGACATGTCTTTCCTCCTCATCTCATACCCAACAAAGCTCCACCCATACCACACTGGAAGACAAAGGCTTGACACGATACAGTTTGTATTTTGAAAACTGGCTACATACGCTAGAGAAACAATGTTGCTAACGGCAGCTTTATCAAACCACAGCAGTTGTTAGAACTTCATTTCATTGTATTTATTCCAAACACTGATAATGTCTGTCCCTTCTCAGTAGAGAGACAGCCTTGATTTTGGTTACTACAAAGGATACGCATGGAAATGCAGCCAGGTCATATCATATAATCTAATTCCCTTTCTAACACTTACAATTTTTCTTGTAACTGTGCTACTTTTCCTTTTGAATGCTCTAGATTCCTTTGCACTTCCTGCAGCTTCATTTCCATGTTTTCCTGCTTTGCCAGTGCACTCTGAAAAAACCAAACAAAATACACCACATTAACATTAAAATGAGATTTAGTAAATAAAAAGGCATCGTGGGAAACAGTGGTGAAATTAAACAGGAGTGATGATGAAATTTTATGACAGCACCAGCTACAATGCTAAATGTGACTGCAGGTATCCCTCTGTAAAGATATCAGCCACTTGTTAAACAACTACTATCACCAAGAGCTTCAAGCTATACTGAGGATCACTGGCTTTCTTCCTGAGCAGCTCAGAATTACTGTCCTGTACAAATGGTCATACCTTTTCCTTAGCATCCCTCATGTTTCTGAGCTTCATCAACTCCATGCACAGGCTGCTCATTTTCTTCTGCACACCATCTTCAGACAGCTTGTTAGAAAAGAAGATAAAACCACTCAGTGTAATTCCTTTGTATGAACTGCTGCTCACACAACCCTTTCCAAGTGCTCCCCTCCCACTCTGTGTTTAGACAGGAGGGCACAAGATCCCAAAGCAGACATGCTTTACATCAAAACACCTGCTGATCAGCAAGTAAAGCTTCCTCTTGCACAGGAAGCTCAATAACAGCAAAGGCAAAGCAAAGCTGAATTTATTTGTCTGAATACCTTTGACTTCAGTAGCTCATTGCTTCTTGTTAACTCCAGCAGCTGTTTCTTCAGGCATGCAACATTTGCTGAAAGAGAGGTTTTCTCCTGAACTGCAGCACTCAGCTTTGCTTCCATCTTTACAAGATCTTCATCCAGAGCATGAAGTTTTTTGTCCTGCTCTCCACGTTCTCTCACTAATGCACGAATCTAAAATATGAGGTATTTGAGGTATTTTCTTTAATTCCTACTATCATTAGTTTAGACAAGTAAACCACAGGCATAGGTATCCAAACTGTGTTTACTTTCATTCAGAATATTTATCTGCAACTCATTCACAGGAAGGAAATAATCACCACAATTCCCCATTATCACACACCATACAACAGCAACATTTAATCTGACTTATTTTATGCTTCCAAGCCAATACAAAATGTAAAAATTAGAATAGTCTTAGGTTTAATGGGCAACAGAAGCCAACTCTCTTTTTTGGCTGTGAGAGAAAAAGGCAGAACATGACATTTGAGACACAAGGCACTAATGAGCACACCAAAGTACACTGATACAGTTCAGGGTGCCTCTTAAGCATTAAAAGTATGACAATTAGTGAGCAAAAAATTTCAGCTAGACAATGTTCAATAAAACAGAATTTTTTTGGGCAGCCAAACAGAGGACTTAGTTCTGTTTTTGAAAACACTGACAGAACAGTTCATCACAGTCAGCAGGAATTAATGCAATTCCATGAGCTTTATACACCCATAATATCGGATAATCTTTATTTTGCACAGAGCTGTTTGTAAACTACTTGCATACTGTCTGATGCAAAAGAGGCCAATTCTATCAGCTGGTATTTTTTATTATTCCAAGGGGGAGGAGACATGACAGGATTTGACTCTGACAATTGATTCATACCTCCTTCTCCAGTGCCTTCTGCTTCTTTTTCTCCTTCATAAGGAGAGCATCTTTTTTGGTCTTCACAATCCCATTAGCCGGCTTTGGAAGAGACATGTGTTAGAAATCTGTAGCTTCAAGTAGCTGAACACAGTTAAATACAAGAATTTGCAGAATTTCATCCTACATCATCAATACTCATGAACCTAATTACCATGTCAGGGATATAATTTTTCAGCCTGTTAAGCTATTAATATTGAAATCCATATGCCAGCATAGGACATTTAGAACCTGTACATGCAGCACCCTGTTCCTTTCACCACCAGGTTTCCACTCTGCCTTGCCCAGCCCCTGAGAGCAGGAACACCATCTCCTTAAAAAGGAGTCACACCATACTTACATGGTGAACAACAGAAAAAGAACAAGAGTGTAGCACCAAAAATAACAAGCTGCTCTCTAGTCTCAAGTTAATTATCACATGATTCCCAAGGATGCAGCACTTCATTTTTCCTGCTTAGGTCTTAAGGAACACAGATAAAACAATATGTTCCATATTCCACTTGGGTAGATTAATGACAGTTGGATGAAGAGGCTGCATTGTTTAAGCAGTCAGAGGTTTAGCTGGGATTTAACAGAGCTACAGACACCACAGCAGAGTCTTACTGTTGATCCAAGAGATGTGAGTCTCCTTGCAGTTATTGGGGTGGGTGCACTCTTCTCACTGCTCAGATTGGTCTCACCTGCAGAAGGAAGTAGAAGGGAATGGTGAAAAAAGAGGGTGCGCATGTACAAATGGTGAAAAAAGAGGGTGAGGCAAATGCAACAAAACTACACAAGGTTAACTGTGTACAAAACACAGCATTCCACCTGTTTGTTAGACTATTAACTTCACAACTCAACACCAGCTACTTTTTTATTGCAATCAGCCAGTTCGATATTGTTCATCTGGGTACTTGACCAAGTTAAGAGACTACCAGGTGATAGCTTCCATATTGCCACTTCTGCGAAAATTCCCTGCCATGATCCAGATCCATAATGTCAGTTTTGAACTGAGGGATGCTTTAGATATTAAATAAGCATGAAAATACCTCTAAACCCTAGGCTAATAGGTAGTTTATTAGACCTCCAGAGACCCCCCTAAGTAGCAGAAGTCCCATATAAAGCTATTTTTGGTAGACTCCAATAGATGTTTTTACAGCTGTTCCTTTGAGCTGGAAGGCAGGCAGTGAGTCTCTGCAACAGAAACCAATTTCTGGGCAGCAGAGCAGCAACAGCACTAACAGCTGCAGCATCTAAAGATACCTTATCATTGTGCATTCTGTGCAATGTTTACTTACTTTTCTGTTTCCTAACCCCTTGGCATGCTTCAGAGGACAGCAAACTTCCCACTCCACCTGATGGCTTAACGTTATGGGATTCTTGCAAGGGAGTACGTGCTAAAAATGAGATTTTCAGAACAGCAGAGAACAATGAAGGCAAACGACAGGGTTTTCAGCTTCGATGAGACTGATAACACATCTATGGCAAATCGACAGCCAAAATCTCACTGTGAGAGACTCGTACATCAGCAAAAGCTCTGGCTAGCAGAGCCTCAGCCGTGACAAGCTCTGCATGCTCCTCTTACAGCGCTGTACGACAGAGCTAGAGGCCAGCAAGGCTCGGCACCGCTCTAGGTACTACGGACATTATACCCGTTCATGGCTGTTATTCGGCATGCCCGGGCTAGACAGGGATGCCAGGGCTAGACACGAAGTCGGCACCTTCTGCCTTAGAAGGGGATCCCTGTGAGAACGCAGAGAGCCCTGGGACACCGCGCTACGGGCTGCTGCTCACAGGAAAGGACACCCTGAGGCCGGTCCCGTCCCTCTGTCCCGCCGAAGCGCTCCCCGCTCCCCCCGTGCCCTCCCCTCACGTACCGGCGCTGCCATCGCGGTGCAGGGGGCGGCGGAGCGGCGCGCGCGCGGAGGCCATGACGGTACCGGGACCCCGCGGACCGGCGTTCAAAGGGGCCAACGGCCGCGGCGCGCGCTGATCAGCCAATCAGCTGCCGCCGCCCTGCCCGCCTCGGCCAATCGGAGCGCCCGGCGCGGGGCACGCGCACTGCGGGCTTGCCGGGGGGCGTGGCCGGCGGTGCGCGTGCGCGGGGCGGGCGCGGGGAGCGGGGCCGGGAGCGGTGCGGAGCTCCCTCGCTGTGTGGGACTCACTCACTCCGTGTGTGCGGGGCTCGGTGCGGGTCGCGGAGCCGGGCGCTGCCGCCGTGTCCCATGTCGGCTCCGTTCGAGGAGCGCAGCGGGGTGGTGCCCTGCGCGACGCCCTGGGGCCGCTGGTACCAGACGCTGGAGGAGGTGTTCATCGAGGTGCGCGTCCCGCCGGGCACCCGCGCCAAGGACGTGCGCTGCAGCCTGCGGAGCCGGCACATCGCCCTGGCCGTGGGCGGGCAGGAGCTGCTGCAGGTACCGCGGGCAGCCCGGGCAGCGGGCGCCGGCCCGTCCGACGCGTAGGCCGCGGGGCACCGGGGAGGCACGGGCTCAGCTGGGTTATAAAATACCTGAGATCACCGAGTACAGCCCCTGACCCAGCACTGCGCGCTTTTCTTAAACACCTCCCGGGACTGTGGCCGCGCCACCTCCCCGGGAACCCGATCCGTGGTCTTGTCACACTCTGTGAAATTTCTTCCTCATATCCGATGTCTAGTCACATTTTCTGTGAAATTTCTTCCTGATATCTGATGTCTAGTCACACTTTCTGTGAAATTTCTTCCTGATATCTGATGTCTAGTCACACTTTCTGTGAAATTTCTTCCTGTTGTCCAACCCAGACCTGCCCTGGCACAGCCCAGACTGTGTCCCCATGTGCTGTCATTATTTGCCTGGGAGAAGGTTGGCACACCTGTGCCGCCTCTCTCTTCTTTATGCCAGGTTTGATACATTAAAAATGGCATTCACTGGAAACAGTTTTGTTCACTTGCATGAGGTTTTACAAATGGTGACTGTCCTCCAGTGCATGGAAAGAGCTGGAGAGGGGTTCTTACAAAGCCATGTAGTGATGGGACAAGGAGGAAAAGCTTTAAGCTGTCAGAAGACAGTGTTATATTGGATATTAGGAAGAAATTGTTTCCTGTGAGGGTGGGGAGACCCTGGCACAGGGTGCCCAGAGGAGCTGTGGATGCCCCATCCCTGCAAGTGTTCAAGGCCAGGTTGGACAGGGCTTGGAGCAACCTGGGATAGTGGAAAGTGTCCCTGGCCATGGCAGGGAGCTGGAATTAGATAAAATTTAAGGTCCCTTTCAATCTAGTCCATTCTGTGATTCTATGAAAAATAAAAATACAAATTCACATGGATTTTAATGTGAATATGGACAGCATTTTAGTGCACAGCTTCAATTGCCCCAGAAGGCAAAAAAAACCCCAAAAAACCCTAAAACCAACCAAACAACAGTAACAACAACAAAAAAAAAAACGAAAAAAACCCCAACAACAAAAAACCAGCCTAAAGACAGATTTACTTTCACATTTATAATGAACTGCTTATGCTACCTGTATCCTGCACCAGAGCTAGATGTTACTCCTGACAAAAACTCTTGCATTTTCATGATAAGATTATTAGAAATTACATTTCCAGCTGAGAAACACAAGCCTTTTCAATGACTCCAGAAACTAAAACAAGGTATTTAATGCTTCAGTTAAAAAATAATTGTGTAATAAACAATAATTCTTTGACAGGCTACATGCAAGTATATACTTGTAGGGCCAGATCACCCTGTTTATTTTCAGCAGAATACAAGGTGGTTAAGTTGTCAGTAAAACTTCATAACTCAATGTGAACTGGATGCTGAAAAGGTTTCACTGATTTGTAATTTTGTACCTGTCTTTTGCAGGGTAAACTTTTTGACTCTACAGTAACTGATGAAGGAACGTGGACGTTAGGTAATAATCTACATCTGAAGTGACATTATAAAGACAGTAAAACTTTCCAGTAGACACTGCAGAATAATTTACCCCCTCTTATTAATGGGAAAGATTACTTCCTTCCCTTAGCTTTGTAAAAAGGCAAAGTCATTATTGCTGGATTAAGGAACTGAGGTATTACAAAAACACTTGAGACTAAGGTTAATGAGAAAATGCCACATCCTGGAAGGTCCTAATCAATGGGTTGCAAACATTTCCATATAATGAGAAGTTTTTTGCAAAAACCTTTATTTGAAGGTAAACAGTTATGGTAGAGCTGTATGGTCTATGACTCTCCATAATAACTACTCTTTATGCATTACATTTTTTGAATGAATGACAAAATCTACAGTCTAAGAGAATCAGAAATAAATTTTAAAATCACACTAAGGTTCCTACACATAATGAGGAAAAAAAGCATATTGGGCCATTGTATCATAAATACTGTAAAGTATTCTGAATATTTTGGGGTTTGACAATCATATTTGTGGACTGTGCCTCTCAGTGATTTTCTGTGAAGGGTTTTCTTTTCCATTCAATATTTATATTAAATATTTACTGATAATTTAGTAATTTAAGCCATTAAAATTTACAGTGTTAATACACATTGTGAAGTGAAACCCAGTCTTTATCAGTACACAAATAATCTTCAAAATACACTTCTAATGCTGTATTATTCACTTCAGTAGAACTGAACACCCTGCACTGCACATTTATTTTGAAACATACTTTCAATATATTCTCTGTGGCCATACACACCATCTGTTCATATGTTGCTAAAACTTAGTTCTGGCTTTTTGTTGGTAATAACTCTCTGTACAGCCTGACCTTAAATTTTTCATTATTGCCTTAGCAGAGTTGTCTATATTAGTAGTTTAAATCTTTGTTGTGAACATCTCCAAAAGGTTACTTTATGTTTGCAATAGGAGTACTTATGAACTGTGTTTAATCCCTTAAAACAGCTTCAGCATCTTACAGGCCAGAAGGGGAGAGATGACAGTACAGGCTGTCTTTGCCTCAGCCTTTTTTCTTGTTAATGTTTATTTATTTATCAAGAACTAGGTTGGCAGTGGCATTAAGAATTTAAATTACTTCATATCTTGTGCAATTAATGTTGAATTCCCCAAACCAAGAAAAGAACCAGCACATAGGACTGAGTTTAAAGTTGCTCTGTGTGTTTTCATTTAACAGAAGACAGGCAGCTGATACGAATTATTCTAATGAAGACAAATAGAGATGCTGGAAATTGTTGGACCTCTCTGTTAGAAAATGAATATGCTGCTGACCCTTGGGTACAGGACCAGATGCAAAGGAAACTTACACTGGAGAGATTCCAAAGAGAAGTAAGTTAAAGCACCATAATTACTCCTTAGATGTTTTGTTAGCACACAGAGGTTATGGCCAGGAAAGCTGAGCAAATGCCATGGAAATATATGCTTTAGTTCAATATCTATAAAATGCTTACAAGGTTTTATCACTGTGCTTTGAAGAGATTATTCTGTCTGCACTCTGTCTGCAAGGTTTGTGATAAGTACAGGTGAGTTTGGAGGTGCTATTGCTGTTTTAGTAATTGCATCTTCATAACAACTTTTCACTTGTTAGGCTCCACACAGCTTCTGTTATTATCTAGAATTATGACAAAGCCATATTTACAATAAAATCTGAACATCGACATCTGCTGGATATGCTTGTTCATGATGTAAGATGGAGTGCAATAGTTGGCTGAAAAAGATGTTCCTTGCACTTTTACTAAAATTGCCTAAATTCTTTTGCTCTACCTTTGGCACACAACTATTCCTGTACATGTCTGCAGAGGTGTACAATTACATTTTACATACCAGCTGAATCAGCAGGCTATGTACTGCAGCAGAGAACAGCAGTTTTATGAACCTTGCTATCCATCAGTGCACATACTTAGAATTTCAAAAGGCAGTTTCAAAGCACACCAAAGGCCAGATCTTGTTCTTAAACTTACCTTAAAATTTCTTTTCTGGCAGATCTGACTACTTGCTAAGCAAGAACAGCATTACAAAGTCACTTCAGCAGCAGACAACCAAACTATGACAATTCAGAGTTTGTTGAGGCATGTTCCAAGAATTTCAGTGCTGTGTTAAATGTATGACAAGTTCATTGTTACATGTTCTTGTTACAATGGCAGAATATTAACAAAAAGCAATTTAGTTTTTTTTTTTCTTTTGTGGGTTGTCTGGTATTTTCTAAAGCATTTTTATTCTACATAATTTACTTACTAAACAATTTTTAATTTTACTTCCATCAGAACCCTGGGTTTGACTTCAGTGGGGCAGAAATTTCTGGAAACTACAGCAAAGGAGGACCAGACTTTTCTAGTCTTGAAAAGTGAACTTTTTATATGTGACCCTTTAGACAAATTACATATTACAGTTAAGGACTGGAATCATGTAACTGTTGAAGACTTCAGTGTTCTCTTCAATGGATTGTTGTCAAAATTACTTCAGTGAAGAGAAAGAAGATCTTTTCCAGCAGACTGAAGACAAAATGTTACCAGCTGATTTATAAGCTGTGATAACTTTATGATACTAAGGCACAACCTATAGAGAAAGGTGTACATAAAAAAGTAATGCCTTTAAGCAGAATGTTTGGTTTGGGTGGTTTTTTCTTTTTAGAAAAACTATACTAAAAAAATCAGTTATAAGTCTACAACTTGTCTTAATGCAAGGATATCTTCTTATTCATGCTTATGTGCACTTGGGAAGGAATCTCCCCATGCACCAGGCTGGGGCTGATGTGCTGGAGAGCAGCTCTGTGGAGAAGGACCTTGGGGTTCTGGTGGACAATGAGCTGTCCCTGAGCCAGCAGTGCCCTGGGGGACAAGAAGGCCAATTATATCCTGGGGTCAATCAGGAACAACATTGCCAGAAAGTCAGGGAGGTGATCGTGCCCCTCTGCTCAGCCATGGTGAGGCCAGATCTGGAGTGCTGTGTCCAGCTGGGCTGCTCAAGACATGAGGGACATGGAGCTCCTGGAGTGAGTCCAGCAGAGGCTGTGGAAGGGATTGAAGGATGTCCCTACAAGGAAAGGCTTTGGGAGCTGGGGCTGTTCAGCCTCCAGAGGAGATAGAGCTGAGAGGGGATCTCATCCCTGTCTGTCCCTGTCTGCAGGGAGGGCTCAGAGCAGGGACCAGACTCTGCTCCATGGTGCCCGGCAACAGGACAAGAGGCAATGGGCACAAACCAACCTTTGTTAAGAGCAACCTATTGCATGTGGGAGAGAACTCAGTACCCACAGATGAGGAGAAGGAGCAAGTGATTAACACCCTCTTTGCCTCAGTCTTTAGTGAGAAGATGCCTTTGTCCTCAGGACAACTGTCTTCTTTGGTTGATAAGATGGTGTGAGGGAGCAATGCACAATGGTCCCCCGTTATCCAGGAGGAGGCAGTCAGAACTGCTGAGCCTCTTGGATGTTCATAAATCCATGGGGCCAGATGGGATCCAGCCCAGGATGATGAGGGAGTTGGCAGATGAGCTTGCAATGCTGCTCTCCATCATTTACCAACAGTCCTGGCTCACTGGTGATGTTCCAGATGACTGGAAGCTGGCCAGCGTGACACCCATTCACAAGGGTGGGAAGGAGAATCCCGGTAACTATAGGCCAGTTAGCCTGCCCTCAGTACCCAGTAAGGAAATGGAACACTTTATATAGAGTGCCAGCACACAGCACTTCCAGGATGGCCAGGGCATCAGACCCAGCCAGCAGGGGTTTAGGAGGGGTAGGTCATGTGTGACCAGCCTGGTCTCTTTTCATGACCAGGTGACCTGCCTGGTAGGTGCAGGAAAGGCTGTGGATGTTGTGTACCTGGACTCCAGCAAGGCCTTTGGCACTGTGTCCCACAGCACACTCCTGGAGAAGCTGCAGCCCAGGGCAGGGACAGGAGCACTCTGTGCTGGGCTCAGAACTGGCTGCATGGCCAGCCCAGAGTGGTGGTGAGCAGTGCTGCATCCAGCTGGCAGCCAGGCAGCAGTGATGTTCTCAGGGCTCTGTACTGGGGCCAGTTCTGTTCAATATCATTATTGATGGCATGGATGAGGGGATTCTTTCATTAGTAAATCTGCAGACAACACTAAGCTGGGAGCCTGTGTCCATCTGTTGGAAGGTAGGAGGGCTCTGCAGAGAGACCTGGAATGGTTTGATGGATGGGCAGAGTCCAATGGGATGAAGTTTAACAAGTCCAAGTGCCAAGCGCTGCATTTTGGCTGTAATAACCCCTGCAATACTCTGGGCTGGGGACAGTGTGGCTGGACAGGGCCCAGGCAGAAAGGGCCCTGGGGGTGCTGGTGACAGCCCGCTGAACATGAGCCAGCAGTGTGCCCTGGTGGCCAGGAGGGCCAATGGCTCCTGGCCTGGATCAGGAATGGTGTGGCCAGCAGGAAGGTCATTCTGCCCCTGTTCTTGGCACTGGTGAGGCTGCACCTCGAGTTGCTGTGTCCAGCTCTGGCCCCTCAGCTTGGGAAGGACATTGAGATGCTTGAGTGCATCCAGAGGAAGCAACGAGGCTGGAGAGGGGCTGGGAACACAAACCCTGTGAGGAACCAGAGGGAGCTGGGGGTGTTCAGCCTGGAGAAAAGGAGACTCAGGGGTGACCTCATCACTCTCTACAGCTCCCTGAAAGGTGCCTGTAGTCAGGTGGGAGGTGGTCTCTTTCTCCAGGCAGCAACTGACAGAATGAGAGGACACAGCCTTAAGCTGTACCAAAGGAAATACAGGTTGGATATTAGGAAAAAGTTATTTATGGAAAGAGTGATGATGTATTAAAAAGGCCTGCCTGGGGAGGTGGTGGAGTCACCATCCCCAAATTAAAAAAAGACTGGATGTGGCACTCAGTGCCATGGCTTAATTGAGGTGTCAGGGCATGGGTTGGACTCAATGTTATCTTGAAGGTCTCTTCCAACCTAGTGATTCTGTGATGCCTGTGTTCCACCTGGACATGAGGAACAAATTCTTTCCTGTGCAGCCACTGTGCACAGGAACAGGTTTCCCTGAGCTGGTATGGGGTCTGACTTACTGGAGTTAACCAAGAAATGTCTGGACAAAATCTGGTGTCGTGTGCTCTGGGATAACCCTGCTTGAGCAAGGAGGTGGGACCAGCTGATCCCACCCACGGTCCCTTCCATCCTGACCCATTCTGTGATTCACTGCTGAAGAACAGATATTTTAAGATATTTAGCATTTTCTCATGTGGTTCCTCCTACACAGCCTCAACCTCTTATAAAAATAAACTGGGGAAAAAAAAAAAATCTGCATTATGTCTTACCTCTTGCCTGAAAATTTTTCTCCAGGTACTGTTCAGGTGTAAGTCACATTTATAGGCTTCCTACTAATATGTTTCATAACATACACTACAGGAAAAAAGCTACTTAGTTAAGCACATTTCCATGTTTAATTTAAAGGTACATATCTTGAGACAGGACAATTAGAATTGCACACTGCATCCTCTCCCAGCAGGCTGACCACACCTTTGAACCACTTTGCACAGGTCAGCACAATGCCCAGGCAGCACTGACAGGTGTGACAGCCACTTACATGTTTTGCAGTGCAATCACTCCCATGAGCTCACGAGAGGATTTGATTTGTCCAGTAGAGAGCTTTGGTATGGAGTCTTCTGTGAAAGCTTTAACTAGTTTGAGATATGCAAAGAATGGTTTCCACCCCAGCTGGTACCATCACAGAGAAGGGTTGGCTGGCCAACACCTCATCCCACACTCTGATCTCTCCTTCTCCACTCCATCAGTCCATATAACAATCAGCTTTAACAGCCTGTTGCCAACAGCCTCTGTCCCACAGTGACACAGAATTCAAGAGGACATTAGCAACTCTCCCAGAACCTCTTTTCATCTAACATACAATAATACACTCTTATTATTCACTTCCTTGGTAGCACTAGAAGCATGAATGCCCCAAATATTGACCTGGTCTTCAGAACAGTTATGTTTTACAAAGCTTACCATGAAAGAGATCAGAGTTGAAGCAATCTTCAGTGTTTCTCATCTGGATTACTCCTACACAGAGGCCACGGGGGGGGGGGGGGGGGGGGGCGGAACTAGCCCTGCTCCTACTGTACCTGTAACAATGTGCCTGTTCAGTATCAGCATTTACCTCTAGTACAGCAAAACTCTGGAAAACTAATGTCAGATTTAGGGCATGACAGGGTTACATGTGACCCAGTTCTTTGCCTTAGTCCTTCATCAGGTATCACCAAGTTTTACACTCAATGAGAGTGGCATCAGCAAACTACAGCTCTTACCAAATACTGCAATTACTGATGCTGTGCTAGTGACTGTCTTTCCTAAAGGAACACAGTAAAGTTCCTCTTTTCTCCTGCTCTACCTACCTGACACATTCAGTGGGTATCACAGGCTGCTGTTTAATGTGTCTGGTAGGAGGCCAGTGCCCATCCTGGCAGGAACACGTGGACACAAGGTACTGCCCAAACAGCACACCAGGTGAGCTGGCAGGCATTTGCTGTTGTCATCAAGATTGAGTTGGATTAGTCTTTCTTTTCTTAACACACTGCAGCACTGCACTACTGCACATCAGATTTTCCTAGTATTGCATAATCCTCAGAAAGTGAACCAGGTTTTAAAAATTAATACCTAATTCAGCACCTGCAGTTACTGTAAACTGAGGTTAGATTACACAAACTGCTCTACAAACTCTAAGGTGTTAAAATCCCTTGCATTGGGATTGTGTTATTCCACTGACTAGTGAACAGTCTACCAAGTAAGAAAGAAAACTGACACCACATACTGAATTCATCATGAAAAGAACTGGTATTTGCTAGAAGGATCTTTAGTCTGAAGTGTTACATGTTCTTTCCATGAGTTGAGCTCTTCATTATTAAGATCATGGTTCAGACTGTTTCTCAGATATCTGTGTGCCTGTTGACAAGATCACAGGATGATCTTCCAATTTTATTGTACTCCTGTAAAAAACCGCAAACAAACCAGTCAACAGAAGTGCTTTCTACAAGAGCCAAACAAAGCATGAGATCTTAATATAGCAAACCAGCAAGATGGCTGTTAGAGAAAAATGTGTAGCCTCTGGAAGTAAAGTCTAGGTAACAAGTTTACCATTTTACAGAGTAAAACAACAGTAACAGGAATAACTGAATTACAGATTTTAGCCTTCACTAAGCAGTTCTACAAGTAAAACTGTATAAAACGGTTATAAGTGGCTTAAATGAACAATTACAAGAAACTCCTTCTAACAGGCTGGTTTTCTTTTTGGATAAGAGCAAGGCAAAGGTTTTTCTCCCCTTTTCCAAGCTTTACTTCACATTTTAGTGTGAGTGTGGTCCCAATGTCTGTAGAACATCTCTGTTACCACAACACAAATCAGTTCTTTCTCCAGTGTTCATACATTGATTAGGTTATCACTTCTTTAGGTACAGCATGGTTTAAGCATGAACATGAGAACAGGCAACTACACTTCTATTCCATGATTCCAGGAGGTAACCTGTAAGACCCTGGAGGTAGTTAACAGCTAATTTTACTTCGACATTATCAGTAGTTGATTTTACAGATTTTACAAAGCCTTACCTGTTATGAGGTGGTCTCTGGAATGGTAGGAAGGTGTGCTATTCTGTAGTAGCTGTGTTTAAGCTGCCGAGCTGTACGTCCAGACACAATCCATTTTAATTTCTGCACATTTGGTTTGGAACACTTGCTTGAGGAATATTCTCTAAGGCACTTCAACACTAGCTCCTTCCAGAAGGTCAATTCTCTGTTGCTTATCTACATAACAAGACAGAATGTCCTATGTTAACAACTAGCTAAATCTTTACTGTGTACATGTACTTTCAGCTTCTTCAACAAGATAGGCAGCCAAATATTCCAGGCCAAATGAAAAAAACCCAATAAAACATCACAAGAAAGCCACAAAAGAAACCAATATGCCAATGCACCTGTTCCTTCCCCACCGTGTAGACCTTTCCATGCACTTTGCTTCCACCCTCCCCTGAAATTTTATCTGCACATACCTTGGAATGTAACTGTAGAAATTCCAATGGCTCTGTCAACTCCAGCAGTTTTTGTTCTTCTATCTCTAGTGCCAAAATAGACAGTGCCAAGACAGAAGGCTGGAGAGAGAGAAGATGTTTTTACACACTGCTTTTTACACACTGCTAAATTAAACTGCTGAGTTTCAGCAGTTTAATTTTCTCTGAACTTTCAAGATCTTTACCTTAGCTTTAGAAAACATGATTCTGCAGTAACAGGCCTTAAGCTGGGTCTCAAGTCTCTCAAAATTAAGGTATTTTCTCCTGTAACAAGAACAGATGAGTGAATCTAGAGGAATGCAAGATTGATCAAGGCAACATCACTCTGGGAACTCAGAGAAGCAGCAAGAATGTTCATTATCTAAACAAAGGCCTCATTTGTCTCAGAACTTCTGGGGTTACATTCAAACAGGTGTTCAGTTTTGGCAGCCTCAATGCCAAAAATAAATCTTGTGTTACACTGGGGAAGAGTTGCATTACCAAAGCAGGCTTAACAAGGAATTTCAGTGCTTACTAGTAAAAGGAATCTTTTTAAACCAGATTTTGCAATCTTTACAATGAGGCAATACTTCACTGCAGCATAAGCAGAGATTTATTATACCATCACTATTGATCAAGTTTAGTTTTCAGCTCAGAGAGCAATACTCCATTCATGCAAACAATACTTAAAATTACAATAGTATTAAACCACAGATGCTCACATTTATGACAATTACGAGTAGGGGGAAAAGTTGGTGGAATTTTTAAAGTATAGAAAAGCCAATTACTCAAGCAATTTCCCTGCTTATTGTTCTACATTCTACATTTTCTGGTCTTAGGCAATTATAGCAAAATCAGCATTAGTTATTGTACCTTTCACAGCTTAAATTCTCATGAATGAATGAATGATAGAGCTGTAGAAATTGGAAGGCAGTTATAGCTTTGATTTTCCAACCCAATTTCTCCAGTATGATTTTCTCCATCCTCATCATATCAGAAACAGTGAATCTATACTGGCTGATTCGGATTAAATCAGTGGCCAAGGGCACATTCCTCTCTTCTTCTGATGCCTTCACAGCCAAGTAGAAGCAGCTGAGTCCAACACAGCCCAAGTGTTTAGGCTGTACCTAAAGAAAAGTAAATTATTTTTAGAGAAGAAGGCCTCTGATCAGTTATTACAACATGTAAGTATCAAACTGTAGGCACCAATCTATTTCATCAAAAAATTATGAGGGATGAGGAGTTGTTTTGTTTTGGAGACTGAAAACTAAATCTTTTACTGTACATTACTATCTTTATTTAACTGAACAAATAAACAGTTATGCACTGTAAATTGCATCTCATTCTTCTAAAAAGCAAAGATTGCAGAGCAATTTTGATTGAGGTAGAACTGACTTGCTAATAAAGTTCTAAAATAGCCTAATAGGAAGGTTTTAGGACATAAAGTGTTCTACATGGTGAGTGCTAGTAAAATATTGGGGGATTACAACTTTATTTTAACTATGTATACAAACATATATATGTACATGTATATATAAATGGTCTAATTTTATTCCCTTATTTTATTCCCTGATTTTTACTGCCTAATCTGGATTCACAAGTCTTTGAAATCATCATTTTCCCATCCATTCAATCTAGCTTTCTCATTTCTGTTTGAACACACAAGCAAAACAAGCTTTTGTCCTTGTCCAAATTGTACAATGGTAATCCTGTCTTGTTAGACAATTTAAAACAACTCAGGTCAGCATGTCACATCTGCACGGGAGAGTGCAGTGCTAACTGATGTCTGACCAGATTTTAGGTGTTCAACAGCATCTTCATATACACAGGGTAAATTGATAGGTCCTGTTTCCCAGCCCATCGACATGTTTAGTTTTTCCTTTTCCAGAGGAAACCTTTCTTAACAATACCAAAATCTGAACGGAAAACACAATTTTTTAGCTCTGCACAATCATAAATCTCTGGAAGGAGCCTAACCTTTATCTAAACCCAAGACATTCCAGTTTCGAATAGGAACTAGGCTGAGAGCTTATCCTTTAAAAAGCCTTACCTTCATTTTTGACAAGAATCTATCCAAGAAATTCACGGCTAGCGAGAACGTCTCGGTGTGGAAGCCAAAGAACTGAGTCAAGCTGAGGAGATCCTTCACCTCGAAGTCTCGCAGCCGTGCTGTCATTCGCAGCCCATTGTCGTGGGCAGCCTCGAGCAGCCGGAGCCCGGCGGCGCGGGGCTGGGCCCGCAGCTCCTGCTCCAGCATCGCGGGCAGCTCCAGCGCCGGGTCCCGAGCGCCGCCGCTCGCCGGGGTATCGATCATCTGCGGCGAGAAACAGCGCGGCCGGTCAAACAGCTGGAACGCGGCAAACTCACCAAACCCGCACAAACTCTGCGGCCGAGGTGCGGCAGGCCGGGCACACGCTCGGAGCGCCCCGGGGCGCCCGCAGCCCGGGGGTGTGAGGGGCACGGCGGGGCCGCGCCGGCCGCACCTCCAGGGACATGCCCGGGCCTGCCTCGCTGCCGCGGGGCTCTGCCGGCGGACGGGCGACCTGCGCGCTCCGCCGGGGGATGGAGGGACAGAGGGACGGAGGGACAACGCCCACCTCACGGAGGGGACGGGACGGACAGGGCACGGAGACACCAAACGCGCAGCCAGCGGGACGGGAGCCGGCCGCGCGCCCTTACCTTGTCGGTGCGGCCCCGCTCCCTGCCCGGGAGGGGAAGGGCCGGACGGGCTGGAGTGTCCGGAGCGGGGCTGGAGTGTCCGGAGCGGGGCTGGAGTGTCCACAGCAGGGCCGGGCGGTTGGGGCCGGCGGTCGGGCCGGGCTCTGTCCGGCCCCGCGGCACCGGCGCTCACCCCCAGCCCGCGAGCCGCCCCCCGCCCGCGCAGTGGCGCCCTCTGGCGGTCCCGCCGCGCCAGGCCCCGCCCCCGCCAGCTGGCCCCGCCCCCTCCCGCGCCTGAAGGGGGAGGGTGCCCGCACTCCTATCGCCCCTAGACGGGGAGGGACCGGCCCCGGTGTGTCCCGGCCGCTGAGGGATCGGCCTGCCCTGGCCATTGAGGGACCGGCCCCGGTGTGGCCCGGCCGCTGAGGGATCGGCCTGCCCTGGCCATTGAGGGACCGGCCCCGGTGTGTCCCGGCCGCTGAGGGATCGGCCTGGCCTAGCCATTGAGGGACCGGCCCGGTGTGTCCCGGCCATCGAGGGACCGGCCCGGCTCGGCCCAGCCCGGCCCGACCGCTCTGATAGTCCCGCTCATTGGGGCGCTTGGAGCTCCCCGAGTGCGCACCCAGGCCTGTTATTAACTTAGAGTTAAAACTCTTAGGTTTTAACTTTTGTATTTTTCATGTTCTGTGCTGCTTTAGTGTGTAGTTCTGAGCTTCATTTTAAGTGTTGGTAAGCATTCTTCGCAGAGTAGGGAGACAAAACAATTCTTTCTCTACCTTGGGACTAAGGACAGCCACCCAGATTTCAGGCCCAAGAGCATGGACAACAACATGGCCAAACAACAAAGAAAAAAACAAGGAGGATGGGACTTCATAACTTAAAGCTGTAATGGCACAATTAACTCCAATGTGCAAATGGACCAGAACTTATAAAAGTGAGAGATCTTGTGACCAGTCATCCATATTTTTGTGGCCACTTTGGTTCATCTTGGGTGTAGTCCTGGCTGGGCTCTTGTGTTGCTCAAGGTGGATCCACTGAGGCCTTTTAATAAATACCTGCTTCACTCTTTAAGTCTGTCTAGCCTCTGTTCTAGGCCAGCCTTGATAAGGCATCAGTACAAATGGCTCTTAAAGCATAAATGGCTTCTCAGCCCTGGGGTGGCTCCTGGCTGGGTTTCCAGCCCAGGGCAGGTGCTCTCCCCCAGGGCTGAAGGCCAGTGGGGTTCAGTGCTTTACTGCTTTTACCTCCAGCATGAATGAAACCTCTCCGGTACAAGGCATTAAAGGGTTCATGTCTTAAACACTTTCCAGCCCCTCTGACAATATATGCATCAAAAGTGATATTCATACTACTTTCTCCTGTTGTACTTACTGCGGATTTATTGTGGGTTTGTTTAATTCTTCCCATCGCCTGTTGAAATTAATTGAAATTTGTTTTATTGGAAGTACTTTTCTACTTCAGAATAACTTCCAGCAGGCAGGACTGGAAGGAAATGTAGTTAGAGATGGAGAAGTTTTTTAATAAAAATGTGTTTTTCATAGCAAGAGCTTGGATTTCTGGAAGGCTCAGTGGAAGTCAGAATGAGGGAGTCCTTGGGTGTGAAGGTGAAATGACCAAATACCGTACCTGTGCCTCTTTCCCCTCCAAAACACTTAAAAGAAATCTAAGTTTCTACTTGCTGTCCATTTCCCTTCCTTCCTCTGACCTTTGCAAACCACTGAGATGCACTGAGAGAATGCATTGAAAAGGCACTGGTTTGACCTTCATTATAATGCCCTTGATTTGCATGTCTATTGGACAAGAAAAAGTAATTTGTTAAAAAAATGAGAATTGAAGCATCAATCCCAGGTCTCATGCCACAGCCCATCTGAGAGAAAATGAATTGTCTTTTGGTGCTACGAAGTCTAAACTGTAAATCAATCTGTTGCTATTGGATGACATTCCCATATAATTGCCCATGAAAGCAAACTCAAGTACTTCAAGTATTCACAGATGCAGCACATCAGAAATAAAGATTATAGCAAATCACATGTCATGAATATGGATATTTATGTTGCCAGTAAATAGTCTGAGTTATCTAAATTAAAATTCAAAATTACATATTGCAAAGGAAGTGTTCTTCTTTTTTTTTTTTTTTAAGAGTTGGAAAACATTTGCAGTATTCTTCCTGTCGTTACTATGCACATAATAATCATGTGAAGCAAATGATACTTCTTTTCATGCTGCTTGTTTTAAATAGCTTTTATTTCTCAAACTGCTCTTAAAAATAGACTAAGGGAGTGCTGTAAAAAGCAGTGGGCCATGGATCTGGTTTGAAGCCACTGACAGCAGGCAAAATCATCAACACTGCTTTTTGTTCTTTCAGTAAGGATTCTGGACTGAGGTGACAGCATGGAAAAGCAGTTCATGTTGATCAAATACAAGTTATGGTTTTCAAATGTTCTTTGGGCTTAGGCATTTGGCAAACAGAAGCCCAAAACACCTTTGTGGGGCTACTGTAGCCACTTGGGCCACAGCTTGAGAAGTGTCTTGCTGTGAGCTGTCAGACTTCTCACTGGAGTGGCTGCAGTGAGTGCACATACTCCATCTGCTCTCCAGGCTGCTTCAAGAGAGGGCAGAGATGAGATGGAAGATTCAGACTGGAAAGCAAAGATGCCACCTCTTCTCTCCTAGATGTCTGTTCTGCCTCTTCAGTGGGTGTCATGCCTGAGACAAGGACACACACATTTCTTGTGGATTGGTCTGGTAGCTGAGGGCACCCATTGCTCCCAGTGCCTGTGCCAAGCACGGGAGTGCTGGCAGTGCTGCAGGGCTGGGTGGGGAGCCTGCTACAGAAGCAGAGTGGATAGTTGCAGGAGTGGTATCTTCACCTCTTTTCTGCTTAACCCGTGTCAGATGTCTTTCAGAAATTTATTTGTTTAATCTTCACTGCCACAGTCAGCACCTGCAGGGTGTAAATATGTGCACTGGCTCACCTGAGATTTCTACCTTTTATAGATGAGTAATGAGATGGCTGACTCTCACAATTGTGGGGTGAACATGATATGTATGTTAAGGGAAGTTTTGTAGATGTATAGCAATGTTACTGTAATATGTCCTCCCCCTTACACTGTTACCATGGGATGGCCTTGGTGGTTGGGGCATTTGGGGAGGGTTGGCTCTCTACTGCAGTAACACCTGACCCCAAATCAAGGTGTAAGAAAGTGATCTCCACCACTGGACAGCAAGGAAGAAGTCAACTGACAAGACTTTAGGAGGGGCTAGTGGTATAAAAGGCAGAGCATCTGTTTCGAAGACAAGCACGTGGCTGAGAGTCACAGGGGCTCCCAGTGCTGTAATTTTTCCGTATTTAATCCTTCTGTTGTATTTTTTGTTAAGATTTAATAAATCTTTGAAATTTTAAAAGTGACCAGTCATTTAGTCATTTCTCACACACCCATGCACCCGAGGATCCAGGAGCCTCAGTAAGTTCAGGGTCCAGGGAGGACTGTGGCTGGCCTGCTCTCCTGCTTGGCCAGACGTGCCACCATATTGACATGGTGTTTCTGTTGACACCATTCAGGAAAATCCTTTTCTGTTTCACACTCCTTTCCCCCAGCTCTTGTTAAGAGCATCAGCAAGCATTATGAATATGACTGGTGTGTAGTTAGCTGCCCTAGAAGAAGAGGGTGTGAATGGGGTATGAAATCATGGATCTGCAGGGTAAACTTAAAATCTAGCAGCAGTCATGGTTACATCTTCTCCACCGATAATTTTTAGCCAGGTATTTTCTCCCACTGTGAGAAGATTCAGTGGTGCTTTTTTAGGAAGAGTCATGTCAGCTGGATTTGGAACAAAGAATAATTTGTTGAACAGACAGGGAAAGCTGAGACTGGGCACTTGTGGTGATTAATAGGCCTGCAAAAGTGTGTGTGTTTTTGTTAATCACGCTGGGAGGAGCAGCCTGGGGAAAGTGTCAGTTCCCTTCAGAGAGAACTGCTAGAAATATTTGAGTCATTACAAGACAGTACAAAGTCATGCTTCATGTTTCAATATTTTAATTTTTTTTGCTTATGGATTGAATGTTTCCAATGGTTGTGTGGGTGCTGCACAGTTGCTTTAGGCTTACTGATAATGGGCTCATTGTTCCTGACTACTCTGGAATAACAGTTGGTGAGCCCTCTAAGCTGAGACTTGGCATGATGGAAATACACAGTTTGTCTTTTTTGTCAATCAAAAATTAAGTCAATCACTTGCACTTGTAAGTTTTTATTTCTATTTTAGAAAGTCAAATTTTTAATAAATCCCAAAGGAATGCAACTTGAAACACTAATTGAGGGCTCAGGAGTTCTGAATGGTTGAAAACAGTTTTCTAAAAGCACTACCAGGAGTCTTTGGCACTGTGCTTGGCTGAAGAGCCCAAAGACATGGCATGGGCAAGTAATTTTTGTTTGATGGATCACATAGGAGATGGAGATAGGCAAAAACACACAGAAAGGATTGTTGGGGGAAAAAAAGTAACTTGAATATGTTACTCCTGCCACAGTCTCCAGAAGCAGGGTGATACCTGGTCATGGGAGTTTGCCTCGGCTGGGTTTGTGTCTTTTTAATGAATAAATATTTTGTCCTGTTATCTGTGTTTTATTTTCAAGAAAAGAGGTTCTGCTAATTCCTAATGTGATTTACCTAATGAGTTAAGTAGTTCAGGTAGTAATTTAAACAACCAAGAGTTAAATATCTTTTTCTAAACCATAGGTTTTCAGTACAGCAGTCTCCACTCAGTCAGGATCCATGTTGTTGTGCCAACCCTGTGGTAGAGCTCATCTCAGAATATGGAGTATCAGGATATTTCAGTTCATGTGCAGAACTACATTCTTCTTTTTAAAAGCTGTTTCAGAAGAAAAATGGACTGGTGTTCAGGAAGGCAGAGCTGTGATTAAAGGACAGGCTGCTTCCCTGATGGCCCCTTTTGGTTTTAGTGGAGATCTTCAGATAACCTAACGAAGTGAATTTTGTTCTTGCAGGGAGAAACCATAGCAACCTGCCACTTTAGAATGCAGGGTATATAATCTATCTGTCCTTCAGATAGTATTTTGCAGTCCAGAA